AGCGCGCCCCCCCCCCCCCCCCGTCCTTCAAAGGAGCTTTCCAGAGGGGAGACGTTAGCGCTAAAAGCAGAAAGTTAGAAAGAGGAAAAGTCCCTTTCTGAGAAAACCTGAACCACTCCCTGGGACCCGTTGTGCTACCACGAGGGCACCGCATCCCCCTGGCGGCTGCTCCAGGTGGGGCTGGGCCTGCACGCCGCCTGGGGAGGGGAAAGGCTCTCGGCCAGCTGCTCGTTAAGTCAATTAGCTGCTGGCCACCAAGCGAGGGAGAGAAAGCTCTCATTTCGGTTGCCAAGCCCTGGCTGGAAGGCCTGTCCAGTCTTGTTCTCCTTTAAAGTGCCCTATATTTATAGACTTTCTAAATAAATAGAAGAAGCTATTAGATACCCATCGTTTAAGCTACTCCGAGTAACAGCCGTCTAAGCCGATCGCATTGTGCCGGTCCTTGGTGTAGGGGCATGTGCTGCCGTTGGGCAGGGTCCCGCAGGCTGCTGTTTTGGCCGCAATGCTGCAGTTCTTGAGGAGGTTGAAGCTGAAAGGGCTGATGGTGTCTTTAGGTGGAAAAGGCTTCATGGTGGAGAGGATAAGTGCCAGGCAGTCTGCCACGTCCTTGTTGGGGGCGCAAGCCAAGGCGGGGGTGTGACCTGCAACAGAGGCACCGGGCAGGGCTGGTGAAGCCGGCTGCAGGCATCCCAGGGCCCTGGGACACTGTGGTGGGGAGAGGCGCACTGCTCCCCCCACCTCCGCTGCAGTGGGGCTGGAAGGCTGGGCCAAGGATTCGGGCATTAGCCTGGGACTCAGGGCCCAGGCTCCCCGGGAACACCCAGCGCCCTGCCGCATTCAGATCCAGGCATTCCAAACCCTGGGTGCACCGCTCCCATGGCGACGGGGCCCAGGACATGCAGGTAAGTGGAGACCATCTGGTGCTGGAGCATGGCAGGCAGCACCAACTTCCTCTCCCCGGCCCTGACCACGCACCCGGGACCCATGCAGGGCTCTGGATTAGGGTTGTTAGATATCGTGCAACTGAGTAGTTGTGTAACCGCCTGAAATTTTACCTGGTACGTGACTTTGGATGGTCTCCAGGGGTGGGACCAGCAGCCAGTGCGCGCCGGCCCCACTCCCAGACCCCCTGCCCCTCCCGCGCTGCTGCCTCTGTCTCAG